CATTCGATCACCGAATCATCTATTGTACACGCCATGTCACCGTCCGCCTCCATACGCAATGACAGTTGAAGTAAGATTTAGCCAGAAAAAGGTTAAGGATGGTCAGACTATGATGTGACTCAAGTCTGTTGATGCGACCCATTTGAAGATGCAAACTACCTGGATAGCGTCACCTAGAATTTAGGAATCAATAGTTCAAGGCTCTATGATGTCGCAGCTGATTACAATCTTTTTCATCTTCGGTCCAAATTTTCACTTCACCATCAGTCATCAAGTATCATTACAAGTTTGCCAAACCATGGCTGTCTCAGACAGTCAAAATAATAATCTTCGAAGTTATGAATATTTTCGCTAAGCTTCATATCTTTATCCTCTCAAACCTCATACGTTTTGTCCACCTTGATATCAGCTTTCCTACCCACTGCCGTTAACAAATATGGCAAGTTAAATGTGGATTTTTGTGCCACTTTCTTCATTGATATATCTGGTTACCGAACTATTCCAAAACACTTGCTATATAAACCAGTCAGTATTACTGAAGTACTTGCTACCCTCTCTCTCATTCTAGAGAAGCGGAAGAAACTAAAATTAAGAGAATTCTAAGCTGTGACATTACTCAGATGTGGGTATGAACAATAAAATCTGTCCAAAAAGTTATACTTTCTTACTGCGTGAACCATTTATCAAAAACAATAACGTCAAATCATACTGTGCTAAATGGCAATTGTTCTGTGCTGAGCATTAAGTAATAAATAGCTACGTCGATTATGCACCGTTGACAAATTGTTGTCCTACACCACAGTACCGAGATTACACTTTTATCTTAGTTTGTTATCTAATGTACTAAGACTTTTAATTTTTAAGGACTGACTGAATGATTATGAATATTTCACATGTTTGAGTGACGAACAGTTAACTTTAGGTTTTAAGCATGTCAATTTTATCTGGTTAATTTTTTTTATTAGAGTTTCTGTTTGCATGAAAATTTTAACGCTCAACTAAACTCTAGTGTAGTCATTTGTGTGGCTTTTTGAATTTTCTATAAACTATGCTGTTTTCCATTCGTGTATTAGTACCTACAACCAGGAAGTCATCCATGAGTAGTTAGACTAGTCAATTGTTAAAACACGTATTTATTAATACATTAACAACTTTGTTTATCACTGATAGAACAGAAAACGTACAACCCCTACTAATTGGCAGTGAAAGTCAGTAATCACATAATGTTAAGCACAATTTATTTTGTTTTAATACACAGTATACTGTTACTCATGCAACAGATATTAAGGCAGGTTTAATTTAACTTCTATTATTGCATAAAATAGGGTAGTAATCGATGAGCAAAAACCGACTATTGGTGGCTATAAGCCCATAAATAGAATACGATAAAGCATTTTCTGGATATTTGACGTATTAATCATGGTACTTTTCAACTCCAAAATATACAGTTAAGAACTATCAGAATGATGATCATTTACGCTGACTAGCTGGCAATCGAAGATTGCCCAATATCATATTTTTCTAATCTTATATACTCAACTAATTCTGTCTATCAAGGTTGTAATACGACCATCAACCAAGAAGATCTATCATAACAGCATAGTTTGCTTTCAGTTAATTCAATTCAAATGGCAAGAAACCCTAGACGTAGATTTCGAGTTTGTTAATATTTCGCAACAGAAGCTGTAACTTAAGCAGAACTGATAACCCCTGAGAAATCCAACCCAACATCCGAAATAGCTAACATTTATTAAATTCTTGAGGGAGTTGTGAAGATTTGGAAATATTTCAAGTTGTTATTCATCGTAGACTGACATCAGTTGGAGGAACAAAGGAAACCTGAGAGCACTGGACAGCTGTTTCGTCCTAGTATGGGACTCCTCAGCAGTGACCACCCATGACCCCGCAAGGGATCGAACCCGCCACCTTCAGGTTCCGCGGCCAGCGCGTTACCATTCAGCCACTGGGTCAGAATCCAATGCTCCATTTATTAGTAATCAATCGTCTGATAAGCATATAAAATCGATAATATAATGTACATAATAAATCTTCTTGCTGGACTGCGAAGCTAACTGGGTATATTTAAGCTGATTGTCAAAAGAGTGCCTAATCAGTGATAAATTTATACAATATGTAATAGGGTATCTGTTTTGGCTGCATACTTTGACGACAAGAAAATACACGGAAATTATTCTTAATGAAGGTACAAATATTGATGCGTTTATAGGTACATTATGCTAAAAAGGAGTGTCACTAAGCATACAATCTATTGGGACAATGACTTTTCAGGCTGTCTATCTCTCTCTCTCTCGTTCTCTCTTACACTAAGTCGAAAACATGAATTGTCTCTTTCAATTTTCTACACCTCATTTGTTCATCTCATCTCTACTGTTTTATTTCATTTCACAGAGACACTGTTTTACTGTTTTATATGAAATCGATTTGGCTTTCGGTAATAAAATACATCTTTTTTAGAAAAAATATGTAAATAAATTTTATGGAATAAACGAAATTGATAATTTCAAAAATCATCTTCAATTTCCTCTTGCTGTTTGCCTGTATTAGTTACTTTTTGCGCTTACAGTCATATCTGTTGTGAAAACAAGGTGTAAACCTTAAAATATTTGCGTCACAATACAAGTTAAACGAATCTTTATTTCTTTTTACTGGCAGGAGGAAGGAGGTCGAAGAATAAAATTAAAGATTTATGCTCATATGCTCCAGAAGAACTGACATCAGTATGAAAGGCGACATCTGGACAATCAAATATACACATACACAAGCATAAAAAATATAAAATACTTTTTACAGAAACACTATTAAATAGAATCGTTTATTAATTCTATCACACAGAAATTGATTGATTCTTTTCGGGACTTTCCATAGACATATTACGCTCTATAAACTTGAATGTAGAAAAAACAACGATTGGAGCAGAATAACATGAGCAACATTTTATACTTCTACTGAACAACTCGAGTAGTTAGAAACTACTCAGAGTGATATGTAGGTTTCGGCAGTCAGATCAAAGTGGTCTAAACACCGAACAACCGTTCCATTCATTTGGGAATCAGCTGATAAGCGATGTACCCATACAAATTCAGCTCATACTACCGAATTAGTTCAGATCACCTTAATCTGGCTAGCTGACTTCTACGGAGCTGTATACCTAAAACAGGATGATCAGTTTGCAGATTATTCACATTGATGTTTGTCGCAGCTGAGTGGTTTTTTAGCTTTCCAACTGAGGTGTGAACAGGTCACACCTTTTAATCAGTCATATTCTACCACAGTGCTCAGATTTTATGCTTATGATGACTAGTTAGGTTTTGACAAATGAAAGCAGCTCAGCTTTATATTTTAGATTGGAGGAATAACTTTCACAAAAGTGTTTAGTCAAAGACTGAGTTTTTATTTTTTATTCAATCCGTTTCTTGACATAGCCCATCCGTAGAATCCTCTTCATTTGGTAGTAATTGTATCATATGAATGCTGATAACAGAGATTATCTAGACATTAGACAAGACGGTTTTGCTGCTAAATGAGATAGTGATTTCAAAGGAGCTTAATTCAAGGATCTGTTGACTTTCGTTTCATATAACTCACGAACATAAGAAAAGCAACTAATCAAAAAGGTAAAAATTATTCTAAATGATGTTTTTGGCATAATAAGTGGGTAGTTAAAGATGAACAAAATGAATAAAGAATTTCAGTAATGATGGATAGTGTCTAGCAGTGAAATTTAAAACACAGATTTCCTCCTATTCAGAACTCATCGGTGGGATGAATATGAGTCTCTGGGAGTAATGTTGACACAAAACTTCAAGCTATGATAGACAATGAGTGTCTGTATGACTCACCATCTTAATGGATAAAAGTTTGGCGTTTGATGCAATGAGTGTTGGGTTCGAGTCACAGTGAGAACGATAACACTAGGAGTCAGTTAATTCCAGCTAATGATTCTAGAATGAGTTAAAACGTCTATCGTGGAGTCCATTATCTTCGCTCCCGTAATGAATATCAGAAGGAAATTACCACCAACATAAGGCATTCACACCGAAGCTCATATACCAATACTGGCTGATCACTTCGGCCCAGCCAATGATAGAAAACTACAGACTATAACATTAGTTCAGAATGAATTTTGACTTCAGTTATGGTGTTCATATAGTAAACTACGAAGTGCACGTCTTCATCGATTATGCAATACCCTTTTCTATGATATATTGCTGATCAATATGTATGATGAGCTTTAATAATAATGATAATATCAGTCGCTTTATTCCAAACATGTGTGATACAGTATAGAATTTTCAGCATCTAATATTTCAATGAATTCACTCCCTGTACAATATTTCTAAACAAAATGGTTATTTCATCTGAAAAGTGTTGAAACTAACAGTTTTAAGTCCAATAATTGAAACGGGCAGCTTATTTTACATTAGCTTCTGGTCTGTGCTGGTGAATGAATAGGAAATCTAGCGTGATTTTGGTAGCAGTAGTTTATTCAGCGAAAATATAATCTGTGATTTGATATAGGCATCCTATGAATAGTATTGTGCTGTGTTTTTGTGTATTTATGTGTCCAGTTCTTGATAGCGTAACGTTTTCCCTTCGTTTTCGTTTTTAACTTGAAAAACGGCAGATTGAAAGCACTTTAAAAATGTATGAGAGTACATGTTACCTTTAAAAGGCTCATTTAAAAGATTAAAACAAATTAAAAGGGAAGAATCTGATTCAACATATTTGGTGGAAAATTTTCGGTAGCCCAAGGTTAAAAACAACATAACCAGTGGTATTTATATTAACATACACAACGTGTACTATACTGAGTCATTTATCTTGAGTAAAGATTGAAAATCATGCCCAGTAAATCCAGTACGGGGAATTTATCTCTGCTAAGACATTTCTTGATAAATAGTTTATGTGACCCATTCGGTAGTAATTCATTAAGTCAATAAAATATTCTATAATCTCTTTTCTCTGAATCTTTTCAACAGACTCCATGCAGTTCAAATGTATCAGTCCCTAAATACTCGGATTCTTCTCTGCTTACCTCTCATCAAAAACAATTGATGACAGAACAAGAATTAAGTGATCAGCAAATCAATCAATTACTACAATATCTTATTTGCAATAATCTACCACAAAATTCAAATTTGAATAATTTAAATCTGTTGACTCAACTTTTACAATCACCAATTACATCAAGTGAACCGAGTAATGTTTGGAGTTCAATAATCCAACCATTAACTAAACAAATCCTTCAAAATTATCAACAACATAATATGAATAATGAAAATCCTCCCACCGGTAGCATTAATAGTAATAATAATAGTAATACTGATAATAATAATAATAATAATATAGCAATAAGAGTTCAATTGCAGAACACTGTCTACCAGAGACAAAGACACCATCTATGTGGACAGATGGATTCAATACACAACATAGTGTTACAGAAACTTGTCCATCACCACCACCATCTAATGTACAATTAACCAATCAATCACAAAATATTTCTACAATAAGAAATCAAGAGGTGAATAACACAGATCACAAAGAGAGTGTAAATAAAATTTCAAGCCAACTAGATGAGCATAAATTAACAAAATTGAATCCTTACGAACAATTACAAAGTCAAGAAATGAATCAGAACAATAATACTGGCTGGAGTAATTCTACATCATATACCTATGTGAATGACAATATCAATACTGTAGGGCATTCAGGACAGCTGTCTAATTTCCCGAGGTTGATAAATGTAAGTTTATAAACAAGTAAAACCTGTTCTCGTGGAAGACATAAGCACAAAATATTTTCTAAGATCATTCATTTAGGGGTATTTGGTTTTTGTTTTTTTGAAAAATGTTACTCAACTTGACCCATGATATTAAAAAAAGGATGCTTTAGCGATAAATAAATGCGAATCAGAGGATGGCCAGCAGATCAAATTTATACCAGTTACATCAACAATAGAAACCAAAGATATTGCGTAACTGTTTGATCCTAAGTTAGGACTTACCAACAGTAAGTCAAAGAGCTCAATACAACAACTTTAGGTTCCTCTATTAGTGGAAAGTACTATCTCTTCCTCTAAGATTATCAATGACTGAGCAACTGATATTATAATAGTCGAAGGTTGATACTTTGATGCAGTATCTTGGTTTATCCCTTACAGTATCCTATCAAATCAGTCACATTAAACTAGGAAAATCGGTTGGATAGTAGTCAAACTAACTGTCGCTACTGTAATTAGTTTACGATGAGAGTCTCAAAGCAAAGTATTGGTGCTGGTTCAATACAAACTTGACTACTATAAGACATTTTTTCTCAGATTTCTGTTATTCCAACTCAGCTGCCTTTTTTATCTTCGGGGAAAAACGGTTGAAATTAATTCATTAGAAACGTAGACTTCATCATTTCCCATGATTTTCTAGGGAACTCTCACGAACACTGTATTCCACTGAACTCAAGTAGATTTCTCTTAGATTACGAAGGTATTATTATTATTAGTCCCTTGGGTTCCTAATGGAACATAGGGCTTCAGTAGCACGTCTCCAATGCGGTCTGTTCTCTGAAATCTTTTCAACCTGGCTCCACGACAGCCCACAAACTCTCATTTCCTCCTCACACGATCTCCTCCATGTCACCCTCGGGCGTCCAACTCGTAGCTTCCCATGTGGGTTCCACTCAAGGGCCTGACGCGTGATGTCCCCAGCCGGCCTTCTCAGTGCATGCCCAATCCATCTCCACTCCCTTCTCCTGCATATTTGTTGAACCATAGCTTCTTGGTTGGTTCGTTGACAGCCAGAGTTCCTTGTTGCTTATTCTTATTATTCTGGCCATCTGATCTTCAGTATCGAGTGAGTGTAGGCAGTTGTTGATGAATGTCTGTAGTTTGTTGAAAATCCCTTTTGTAACGCACCAAGTCTCTCAACCATCACATTGAAGCACTGACTTGAAAATCCGGATGTTGTTCATGCTTTATGCTGAGTTGAGTGCAGAAGATCTCCACACTGGTTTTAGGTCAATGCAGGAAGGCCTGTCTTGCTTTTCCAATGCTGTCTTTGACATCCTCGTCTGTGTTGCCTGTGGTTGAAACAGTGCCGCCTAGATCGGTGAAGGAGGCTACTTCTTTTAGGTATCTCCCGTTGATGGTGAATGGAGTTTGTTGTTGTTGTTAGAGTTGTTGGTGTGGTATCTTCATCACCTCTATCTTCTCTATATTCACCTGAAGTCCTGTCTTCGCTGTCCTGCCCTGCCTCTTCTGTCAACTTTTTAGTTTTCGCCTGTAGATCTTCGAGTTTATGTGACGTCAGACATAAGTCATCGGTGAAATCCATATCTTCTAGGTTCTTTTCCCGGTCCAGTCAGCGTATCCTCCTCTTCTCGCTCCCCACTCTTTGTCGCATGATACAGTCCACTCGACCACTATCAAAAGTATCATGGGTGATAGTAGGCAACCTTGTTTCACTCCTGTCTTCACTTGAAAAGCATGACTGAGCTTCCCATTGTGAATTACTTGGCTGGTATGTGGCGTCTTTATATAGTTGTTGTTTGTTGAATGAGGCTGATAAAGGTTTGCGGTAATCGGTAGTGTTGAAGCAGTTTCCAAATTACTTCTCTGTCGATGCTGTCCAAGACCTTCTCAGAGTCGATGAAGTTGAGTTAGAGGGTCGACTGCCATTCTATACTCTGTTCTATGATGATGCATAGTGTAGCGTTGCAATTTTGTCGGCACGTGATTTGTACTTCCTTATTCCAGCCTGCCTGTTCTGGTCGTAGTTTTGAATCCAGTGCATCCTTTAGCCTCTCCAGGATGATGCGACCTAATATTTTGATTGCTCTGGGTGTACAGGAGAGTGATTCCGCGCCAGTTCTTGCAGACACTGAGGTCTCCCTTCTTCGGGAGTTTGACAAGGTTGTCCTCCTTCCAATCTGCAGGTGCCTTTCCTTCCTTCCACACTTTCTGCAATAGTGGTATGATCATGTCCGCTGTTGCCTCTGCATCTGTTCTCAGTGCTTCTGGCGGGATCCCATCTGGTCCTGCTGCTTTCTCATATTTCAGTAGCTTTATAGCGTTAAAGACTTCGACTTTTGTTTGAGGGTTTGTGTCCACTTGTAGTTCTGTAGCTGGGCTGCAGGTGGTGGACGAAGTGCAGGTGGTGGTCGACTCAAGAGCTTTTTGAAGTGGTCGACCAATCGTTTCCTCTGTTTCTCTTCTTTTGTAATTACATTTCATTCATCATCTTTTACTGGTTTCATGTATGATGATCTCTTCCCAGATAGCAAACTGGTTATTTGATACAATGTCGTCAGGTCTGTCTTACCTGCAGCCTGTTCTGCTTCACTTGCCAGTGTTTCGTAGAAGTGTCTTTTGTCTTTGCGTGCACTCTTCTTCACTTCTTTGTTCAGTGTTTTATACATTGTGCTCAGTTCCTCTTGTCGTTGTCCATCCTTGCACTGGTTCATCTTCTGCTTCACCATCCTCCTCTCCCTCCTCTATCAGCTTCCAGGTCTCCATTGAGATCCATTCCTTGTCTTGGCGCCTCTTCTTCCTTCCTAATACTGTTGTGCAGGTTTCTTTCCACATCTCTTTCAAAGACTTCCAGTATTCTTCCACACAGGATTCTTCAGGAATGTTCCTCGATATCTCCCATTTTGTCTTGATGGCTGGCGGCCATGAAGATTTTCTTTGTATTTTCGTCCCTCAGTTTCCGAGTGTTGTGCTTGAACTGAGGTCTATCACCTACATCTGCTCCTCTTCTTGACCCTGTGTCAAGTAGGCTGCGTCCCCACTTTCTTCATATTGAGATGAAGCAGATTTGATTTTTAGTGTGTCCTGGTGTCTGGTGAAATCCATGTCGCTCGCTTTGTGGATATCCTTGTGCTTGAACACACTGCCTGACTCCAATCACCAAATCGTTGAATGCGCAGAATTCTGCAAACAATTTTCCATTCTCATTCATCATTTCACCGAGTGCTTCTCGACCCATGGTTAGTTCTCTTCCTGTGTTGTCTGCTCCCAGTTTGGCATTCATGTCGCCCCACCCATTATAATTTTGATGTCACCAACTGTGGTGGGTTCTTGTCCAGTGTTGATTGAAGTTGTCTGTAGAATTCCTCCTTCTTCTCTTCATCTGCATTATTTGTGAGTGCATAGTGTATCATTGTATGACTGTGACTTTTCTTCCTTTTGAGTTGAACCGTGCTGTCATGATCCTTCTTCTGATTCTGGAGGAGATTGTTTCCCACTGCATGAGGGAGAGTCTCCGATGCTGTTAGGGACATCATGATAGCCACTCCAAAACTCAGTGTGCTCGTGGTTGTCGTCTGGGTGACAGTATCCAGTTGACAGTTTGGAGAGTCCACTCCCATTCCATCTGCTTTCGCAAATCCCAAGCACTTCGATGTGATACCTTCTCATCTCGTTTGCAATCTGGGCTGCCTTGCCAGCTGGGTTCAAACATCGTGTGGACATTTCATGTCCCCACGTTTACTTTCGCTTTCATCGAGAGGGAGAAGACACATCAGCCAATTGGCTTCCTGAAGGCAGGCTTTCACCAACTGGCGTCATTTCACCTCTCCGATTCGAGCGAGGAATAATTTTATTATTTTTTATATTTTGTTCGTGCTTTGAAGTTTGTTTAGCGGTTAGATTTGTTTTCCGAGTTAGGGTTGCTAGCCGTATGCCCAACCTTCCCTGTTTACCCGGGCTTAAGACCAGCTAGTAACTAGTCAACTAGTTAACCAGGCGAGGTTAGATTACGAAGGTAGATAACACTTTTTGCTTCTATTTTCTTCGCATATCTGGACTCCATCCTAAATACTATAATTTGACAGGAAGTATCAGCTATCTACCTAATTTTAAAACACAACATCCTCTTTATTATCAGGTGTGCTGGTTATCTTGGTTTCTTGTATTGACTTCATTGCCAACAATTTCACTAGCTTCCTAAACCGTTTCTGAAATCTAAATACAACAGAACAGCTCTTCTCACCTGCAGACCTGTGCTGCCAAGTGCAAGCTAAGAAGTTCAACGTTTGCAATTTATATTGACTAAAAGCATGCGCTTCTTAGTCAAATTTCAACATCCAGCATCATAGGTATATTTTTGCTTCCTGAGATATGTAAAGGATTCAAGTGTGCTGATTCCCTTGGCCACATATTACCAATTTGAGGAGACTGTATGAATCAAGTTTAGACCATTCGGAGACTAAATAGTTGAGTGCAGTAGGTTTGAGTATGCAGATAACATTAAGTCCCATGGCAGAACTCATAGTTTGTAAAGCGAATACAATCGTTAGCCATTTATGTCCTACCTAACCAAATAATTCCAAAAGAATTTTAATGATCGTGAAACATTTTCGCTCACCTGTAGCCTTCCCCTAAGCATCCGATATGGGTTGAATCGTTGTCATACCCAGATTCTACTGCATGGAAGGAATACATACCTGGAAAGTTCTTTACTATTCGATTTAAGGACGGGAAGAATAAGTGTGTATTATATAGGCCTATTAAAGCTCAGAGAACACCATACCACCATCAATTTACTTTTGAAGCTAAACTTATTTTCCATAGCCAAGACCAATTACAGCACACAAACACTACGGATATTTGAGGAAGAGTGCTTATACAGTATTCAAGGCCAACAATCATCCAATCAACCTAGTCAGTATGTTTATTAAAGCGGCGAAGAACAGTGCAATTGCCGTAAATCACGGAACGGACTAATTGCCTTTACATCAATGATTTCTCAA